AGTGGTTCCCGAGTTGAAAGTGCGGGACAAAATGTGGGACACACACACAAACACACACACAGACAACCCCGTGACAATATGCGTTTTGTAACGCTGCTACACAGCACAAAACGCAAAAGAGTAGGAAAACGCTTTTTTCAAACAAAACTTAAAAGGATAACTGGAAATAACGACAGTTCAAAAGCGAAACAAAGGAATGCAACAGAGGACTGGTATAATATAAATCTGAAGGGAGTGAAGTCATGACAGAGAAAGCCAGTAGCTATTTCAGACGAGAAAAATATCAAATAATCGACTTCACTCTACCGCTGCCCTTCTTTGATGAGTGCTTTTCAACGTGGTAGTGACAAGTAAGCGGCTGGTACGATACAACAAAAACCTTGCCGGGTACAAATGACGTTATGAAATGTTGTACCAGAAGACATTACTTACCTCAATTCCCTCTTTGCACAGATCGATTATTTGATATTTTCTGCACCAATGATAGCTCGTGGCAAATGCAACCGAAACATTCTCCATGCCAATGTAATTCGCACAACCTTCCGGTGGTCTCTCAATCTTGAACCTGTAAAGCACAATCACTGAATACTCCTTGCGGCTGAGTAGTTTTTAAGAAAAAGTAGGCAGAAACGCCATCAATCCCGTCTGCTCACGAAACGAATATGCTACCAATTCTTGGCCATTCTTCCGGGGGTCTTTTTTTGCATGGCATTCAGCCTTTTAGCACTAAATTTGGCGCTTATGACTAATTATTAACATAGTTTTACATTATCCGCCTTTTTTACAATGTTCTTCAATAAGTTCTACCGTTTTTTAAGCAAACTGTCACAAAATTCTCCGAAAACTTTGAATTCCTTTTACAGATTTTTTGCTGAGTAGATTTTTCACGGTTCTCTTTAAATGGACAATTCTGGCAATCTCTCCTGGGGAAACACGATGCACTCACTGAGTGATTTATTTGCTCACAAAGATGTTCTAGAAGCTTACAGTACCTTCTCTACAAAGTTTTCAACGCATTCTTAATGACAAAGGCCAATAATACAACAAAGAAGAAAGCCAAAATGAAGGATTTTCGAAACATTTCTTCTAAACTATGGGAAAAATCAGTAAGACCAGTAAAGCAGCGCAATGATTATAAAAATATCTCTTTCTGTGAATGCGAAGAGGGATGTACTTATTCTGAGGACTGTGCAGTACCTCCATGGGGTCACTAAAATCAGCTCAAAAAGTTCACATTCTTGGAATTTTTTCACAAATTTTTTTCGGAAAATTTATGCCCTCAGAAGCGGTCAATCCTCAACTTCCAGAATCTGGTTAAATTAACAACCCGCAGTTGATGTGAGTACTCTTTTAAAGTGTTACATTTTACGACATTCCATGTTAATCTCGTAAATTGAGTAAACCGCAAAGAGATAAACCCACAAGATATGACCTCAAAAACCGCAAAGCCCTACTCAAAGCTTACAGAGGATTTGAAAAATACCTTATAAGCTAATTTCACAACTCGAGAACCCCAAATAAACAACTGCCACGTAACCAAAGTCCTCAAATTTCAAAATCTTACAACAGCCAAACTTATACGCAGCTTCAAATCATTGCTCTATAATATCAAAACTCTTGCAACTGTTGAATTATTGCCGCACTTCAAACTTCACCCACATCTACGATCAGCCAGGTCACTGCAGTGCTGTGTTACTTAAACGCCGAGCAACAAAACATACTGTACTAGACCTATGTTATGGTTTGCTTGTCCATTTTCAGAATTAGAACCGCAATCAAATTCGAAGAAATGATCGAGCGCCGTTAAGAAAACCTAATGAATTTTCACCGAATGCTTCGTTAAGAACTTTGGTACGACGCTTCCTCCAAATCTTCTTCCTCGTCAAAATCAACTCGGTAGAACAAAAGCCAAAATCAGAACTACAGCCGGCAAATGCAGAATCGCAGTTGTATCAATAAATGGTCAGCGCACCGACTGCTGGTGCAAGGATGCGTTTTTTGCATAGTTCCCCGCAGGTTCTTGTCGC